TTTTATTAATATATATATATATATATATATATATATATATATATAATAAATATATAATTGAGCAATTATAAATGTTTAATAAACCAATTATTGCATACGGCAGAAAAGTTTTGAAGTACTTAAAAATTTGTCAGATGTTTTGAAGTACTTAAAAATTGGTCAGATACAGACTTAAAAATAATTTTTAATTGGATTATTAAAATAATTACGCAAGACATTCAAATTGATTGCTAAAATATAAAAAATTTTTTATATTATTACCATGCTTAAATACATAAGTAATTCTTTTAATAACGCAACAAAATTATTTTTAAATTTGTATCTGGTTAAAATTTTAGATACTTCAACAAAACCGATCTTTTCACGTGACAATCATATCAATTTATCTTACTTAATTCAGTAAGGTTACGTTTTCTAAATATTAAACACGTTATTATAGATATTATAGAGATACGTAGATATTTTCCGATAATATATTTATCTAGATGATATCGGATATTATCTGCATTATCATTATCACATTATATCGGTATGAAAGCAATGTTATCTAACATTGTTAATAACGCGCCGGGTCGTCAAACTCGTACTTGATCTTCATTATTATCTCGATCGAGACGCGCGTCATGAGCCACTTGATCCCGTCACGTTCGGACAACACTGGCTGCTCAGATCGTTCCCACTCAAGTTGTCGTTTGACATCTCCACGAGGACACGCTCAAGTTACATGGACTTTGCACTGTAGCCCAAGTCGATTATGATGGCGTTCACAGAATCCGCTTATTTTTATCGATTGTTTGCTCGATTTATGGATCATGGAATCATGATTTATTACACATAATATTATGGTGATTTATTACATAATATCATAGAAAAGTTAGATTGTGTTAACAGGGTGACTACACCGCACAAATGAATATTGAGATCTTATTGGATATTAAAGAAGATACATGATTTATAAGCTTCAGCTGTGTATACTTACTTTGTGTATCTCTCCTCTTTTTCTGATCTTTATAGATCTTTTATAGATTCTTTCTCCATAATTATTTCAAATAATTCTAAAAACTATTTTTTTAATTCATTAATTCGTTATTTTAAAATTATTCTTGCTTAATAAAACAGATTCTGTTTTCCTTTTTCTTCTTTTTTTTTTTCTTCTAAATTTGATGTATTGGATGTTTGGCATTCCTTAGAACAATGAAGAATTCAAACGGCGTGAAGAATCCCATAGACACCACAGACCCGAACGAAAGTATCACGTTAAGACCAAAGTTGGAGACCTTCGATGATATCTTGCCATACGTCGGTGATTTTGGCAGATATCAATGGCTGCTTCTATTGGCTTTACTTCCCTATAGCGTAGCATATGCCACCCTATACTTCTCGCAGTTTTTTCTTACTCTGGTACCACAAGAGCACTGGTGCAAGATCGAGGAATTGATTTCTTTGAACCTCACACAAGAAGAAAGGTAAAATTATAATAATGTCACTCATCAAAATATCAAACGTTTTTATCAACGCGATATATTTTAAATTACAACAAATACATATATTTTTTTATAAATATTTATTAAATTTGTATTGTAATTTAATTTTTATTATACGTTACACATTTATATAGATAATTTATAATTTATAATAATTTTGAATATTACGCAATGAACTTTGTTTTCAAATCTATCTAATCAATTATGTCTTCTTTTTCTCTTTTATGTCATCGTCTGTTTGTTATTTTCGAAGAGATATTTCGGAAGTCAATATTTTTCAGAGTGGAGGTTGGCATACCGAAGTCGCAAAGTTATCCGTATTACGATCGATGCCATCGAAGAGATATAGATTTCTTTCCTATTATAAATCACAGGATGGACATTCGTTCGATCGAATGGAAGGCAAACAAAACCGTGGATTGCAACCAATGGGAATACAATTTCACGCAAATCCCGTACGCCAGCATCGCGGTTGAGGTGAAGTATATTCGAATACGTCACCGTATGTATGAAATGAAAGACATGATATGGAAGACATAAAAACAATCAAGATTCATGACTACTCTTGCCAAATGATCACGATTAACTGCGATTGCAATTGATCTTTCTTCTCGTCACTTCGATCATACGATTTATTTCTTAATAATAACACGCGAATAACTGTAGCAAGAGATACTTACAATAATTTACGATATAAAATAAAAATAATTTTGCAAGTAGAGCGCATGGAATCGCCGACATATAAAAAAATTCAGTGAAATGAAGATTTGAAAATAATTTTATCAAAACAATAATGTGGGACGTTCATGTTACTACGTTGATCACTGAAAATAAGTCAAAAGTTTTTACAGTATAATTATCATGTTAGAACGTTCTATGTAATTATTTTGATGGTCTAATAAAATTATCTTCAGATCTGTAGCTGACCCCAAATTTTTAGATTTGTCAGCAAAATTATTTTCCCCTTGTAGATTGCTGCATTTCTCGCGCACTAATTCTGGACCCTTTGTGATTAGCTAGATTGGGTATGTGACCAGGAATATCTCATATCGACGGCACAGTCGATCTTCTTCTGTGGTTCCATCTTCGGCGGTCTGCTCTTTGGATGGATCGCCGATCACAGAGGCCGAATTCCCGCCCTAGTGCTTTGCAACGGCATCGGGTTTCTGGCCTCGATCGCAACCGCGAGTGCAAATACCTTCTGGACTTTTGCCATATGCAGATTTCTTACTGGTCTGTCATTCGACAATTGTATAAACATCCCGCTAATTATCGGTAAGTAATCCTCAACGATGATCAGACGCGATGTATCGACGCTCATCCGCATCGCTTGCGGCAATGAATAAAAGAATTTATTCCGACTTCCGTCGAAATTACACGTGAAGATATGCAATTACATTTTTCATTTTTTTTAACGTTAAATCTAGACTGCAAATCTCCACGCGCTGTTAATGTTCACACATAATTTTCATTGTAATGAATGATGTTACGTGAACTACCCGGAAGAGATGAAAGATCATTGTGGCTGATTAGTAAAACTTTTTGTGTGTAAAATCATTAATAATGTGTGTATCGCCGTTAATTTATTATTTATTTATTTATTTATTTATTATTTATTTATTAAATTGAATGTTCTTTAAAATATTGGATCAAGATCTTAATTTAAATTTTATTAGTGCTCGAGTATATGGCAGTGAATAGGCGAACCCTCGTCGTTAACATTGCTTTTGGCGTATATTTCGCCGTTGGAAGTACAGTTTTGCCGTGGATCGCATATTACGTTGCCAATTGGAGATTTTTTGCTTATGTCAGCGCAATTCCGATGATGAGCGTCTTCATCACGCCTTGGATTCTTCCCGAAAGTGCTCGGTAAATAAATATAGATATTCAATTTATTTCATCTAAATCATCCACATACAAATCACAGTTTTTGTTATTAATATACTATAATAGATTTTAATGTCCTTTTTTATATAAGAGTTAAATAATTTTTTCTTAATCTCAGTAGTTGCAAAGGGATTTCATATTTTTCCGATTTAATTGGAATTGGACGTGCGAGATTTAATACGCGAACTCTTTAAATGATGGCTTTTAGAAATGCAGTTGCAAGCTTTTTCACTGTTATCTCATCCTGTGCCTTTTAAATTTTTCGCTAAAATAGAATATTGTTTTATAATTAAGATGGTTCGTCGCCAACGGCAGAATAGACAAAGTAGTGCAGAAGTTGCAGCGAATCGCGAAGATCAACAGGAAGAGCCCTGAAGTGTGCATTTACGATGTCTTCGTCGTAAGTAAAACTGATAATCGGAAGCTGAAAAAACACAAATCGCACATCATCGATCATTGATCTCATCCTTTTTACAGAGGAACCTAACCGTATCTGAGACGCAAACAGAAAGCGCAAACATCTTTGATATTCTAAAGTCACCCCGCCTAGCGAAAAATACAATTCTGTTAATCTTCTTTTGGTAAGTAAGACTCAATTTCATTCCTCGCTGTTAGCTTCATCGTTTTTCTTTTTATTTTCTTATTTGGATGGACTCGATATGTACCTCTTTGGTTTCGCGGAAGATTAATTTTCGAAAATATCGCGCTCGCATCTGGCGATATATTTTGACGCAATCTCTCGTGACGCAAAAAGCTTCAGAAATCTGGCGGCACGCCTCATCAGATCTTATCCATTAAAATTAGCGCTTTCGAGATCGGACATTACATTGTGCTTTCCGCTTTAATGCATTAGATACGCCGCGCACGAAGTTACTTTCGGTGCTTTCCAGGTCCTTGACGATGATAGCCTTCGACGGCCACGTATATTCCCTCAAGCTGATCCCGAGCTCGGTGTTCGTGTCCTTCTCCCTCGCTTGCGCGACCGAACTGCCGGCCGGGCTGTTGCTGACGTTGCTGTTGGACCGTTGGGGTCGCCGATTCTGCGGATTTATCACCCTGGCCATGACTTGCCTCTTCAGCTTTGCCGAACTGCTGTTACAGCCGAGTGAGCACATCATATACGCGGGCTTTTAAACGTGTCTCTCGAATAAAATCACCGGACCGCGATCTCATGCGTTTTTTTATTATTCAGTCATAGCGAAGCTGACGATGTCGGTGCTCTCGCGATTTTGCTTGAATATGGCGGCCAATGTCGGTCTTCAGTATGCCGCCGAATTGCTGCCGACTCCCATTAGGACGCAAGGCGTCGCGTTGATCCACATTTTTGGCATTATCGCCCATTCCATCGCACCATATGTGGTAGACAGTGTAAGCAGTGTTTTGTCTTTTTCACGAAAAAAAAAAGTATCATAAAATTCCGACGCAATTATTTCGTATTATACGGCAATGCAATTAATTTTATTATTAAAAACTATTTTTATATCAAGAATTTGATATAGAAGTAGAATTTGATAGAGAAATTTAATTACATTAAAAATATATTTTATTATAAATTGTCTGTTATTGCCATTATTATAAATAATCGTGCTAAGCTTTAAAAAATCTGTGTTGATTTAATTTGAAAATTTCTGCAGATAAATATTGATAACTCATGATGCACGTTACATCTATTACTTCACTATGTCTTTCCGTAATTAAATCGTGCTTTATCTTAAATATTTAAATCGTTTTGTTAACGTAGAATAAAGTCTGGCACTGGTCTATGGAATCATCGTTTTGACTAAAGGCAAAACGCAAATTTTACTTATGTCATTGAATATTTTCAATTTAATCAATTATTCGCAATTGTTTTAGGCCAAGATTTGGGACGGACTGCCAATGATAATCATCAGTATTGTGTCGTTTGTTGCCGCTACCTTGATACTATTTCTACCGGAGACGCTCGGTCGCGACCTTCCACAGACTCTTCGCCAGGGAGAGGATTTTGGAAAGGATCAAAGTTTCTGGGCCCTGCCTTGTTTCGAGAGGCTACGTTCAAATCGACATCGACATTATCGTCCACGCGAGCTATAGTTCTTTTTTTTAATTTTATCGTATAAAACCTCGAAGTCGAGGGAACTTTTTTAAAATTTTGTTATATAAAACCTCGAAGTCGAGGAAATATAGTTAAGAAATATTTACGCCTCGCGTGTCACGATGATAATATAATCAGTAATTACGCTTTTTTTTTGTACGAGTTAATAAAGTTGATAGACAGGATCGGAATGATCTCCCGATCTGAGGAGCATTTTTTGAGAGGCTTCACTCTCGAAAGTGAATACTCCAAAACAGAGAGTTTACGAGAATAAAACAACTTGTCTTTTTATTTTATGCATTGTTACTCGACCTTTACATGGCAATGAGCGAAATGATACTAGTCATACTCTTCTGCGCAGTCATTGTGTGATTTTTGATAAAATTTCCAAGTTTGGCAGTGAAGAATGAAAAAACGTATCTTTGTGCGGTTGAAAACCGTGCTAGTCTATATACATTAAATTATCTAACATCGTCTACTTATTTAACGAAACTTAATTCATAAAAGATTGCTATCGCCGGTGACAATTTCGTAATGATTCTTGATGATACATCAGGAAAGTGACAGTTATCTTCGCACAATTCTAATCTGTCCTTTCAATATTATTTTGGAGAATAAGTCTTTCGTGTATCGCGCATGTCGTTCTTCGGGAAGGTAAGGAACCACAAATTTAAAATCGTAGCAATTCGCTAAGTTACTACGAACGTGCATATGACTATTCATTAGGCACGCGATATTTACGTTCAATCGCAAGTAAATAAATCATCATGCGACGTTTGGCACATCAGGCTTCGCTTTGTGCAATGTAGACAATCGGATTCCTCGACTTAGCACTTAGATGCACGTGATATCTCACGACATCGCAACACGGCGGGAGAATCAGCTCGTCGCTTACTTAATCTCATTAAAATTATGCTTAGTTAAATAACTTTGTACACACATCGGCAAAAGGAGCGGCGAGTCCGAAAGCTGCGTTGCGAGGAAACGATTTGAAAAAGTAATCTGGCACTCTTGACGCGGTCGCATTGACTTCGAAATCGCGCGAAATCGCAATTCGCATTCGTGTCCATCAGAGCGTACATCTCGGAATTGAATCCCGCATTCCTACCGTCGTCCACTTCGTACTTGCGTCCCCGTTCGATCGCCATCGCACATTACAGCACTTGACGTGTCCGTCACTCACAAATCTGCTTAACAGCTATCACACGCGCGATCGACTTATTTAATCGCGATATTTACAACGATTTTGGCAAAATTCTCGTCGGCGAACACAAACGACCGCTATAATCTCGTACAATCGATAGTTTGAATACTGCCTTGGAAAGCCGCGTTCGCCATACCCTCCTTCTTCTTCTTCTTCTTCGCCGATTTCTTCAACTCCGGAGTTCTGCAAAGATTTCGAGGATAAGGAGATAAGTTCGCAAAGCCATTACTGCCGGATAAAAATACGAGGGAGGGAATCTCGATATTTCTTTCTCCTTGAATCCAAGCGGAAAAGGAAGAAAAAGGGAGAGAAAGACTCGTGGAGTAAGACTTACGAGGATATGCAAGGGATCCACCAAAAGCTCTGATCCTTGCCGAAGTCGTTACCCTCCTGCAGAGTCTCGGGTAATTCTTGGTTCAGGGTTTCCGGTAACGCTAACGTCAGCAACGCGTCGAGGAACGACAAAAGACCGAGAACAATCAGCGGCAGGTATTGGTTGACGTCGGCCTGAAAAACGACGATGACTCAATTAATCGAGTTCTATCTGCGACTCGTCTTCCTGACGAGCGGATTAGATTTTGTTAATCGCAGATACGATCACGCGCGGATCGCGTTTCTCGGGATACTTTACCAGGTAGATCACGTAGGGCCCGATGATGTGGGCGAAGTAACCAATAATGTGAATCAGAGACACACCTTGCGCTCGCACTACGGTCGGCAACATCTCAGCCGCGTATTGGAAGCCGATATTCGCGGCGATATTGACACCGAGGCGCGCCAAAATCGCCATGGTGACGGTTAGTGTACCTGAAATACCGCGGATTATGTAAATACGACGTGTGTTACCAGCGTTATTTGCTCGAGTCGAATTGCAATTCGCTAGACCGAAGATTGTATCTCAGATCGACAGACAGAAGCAAATATATTTCATCATGGTCCGCTTTTATTTTATCTTTTATTTCTTTTTATGATCTTATGTTTTTCTGTTATCGGTTTGGCGATGAAGGCGAAGTAACGAGAGGCATAATTATCGCGGTGATGTAACTTCTTACCGGGGGGAGTGCCGATGGCGATGAAGGAGAAAATGCCACACATGAACATCGAAGCGAAGCCCATCCATCGTCTGCCCCATCTGTCAAGGAAAAGTGCCAACAGAATCGCCGCCGGAAGTTCGGTCATCGCGGCTAAGGAGAACGACGTGAACACATCGGGATCTAAAAGCTTCATGTTCCAAACGTGTCCGTCGAACACCAGAATTATCAACAGCCTGAAAGCCGATTGTTCGATCAATAGCTGTTTCAAACGGGAGCAAAATAGGTATATATAGATTTGATTTCCCATAGCACTCACCAGTAAATAACAAGCATGACAGTGATACGAGCCAGCCGGGGCAATTTGAAGAGATGCACGACTGTGTACTGATTGTGCGATTGATCCTTCTCGATCATGCTCTTGCAGCTCTTTTCGAATTCCTCGAACACCTCCTGCTTCACTTCCTTACCGTTGACTTTTGCGAACTTTTTCAGCATGCCAATCGCCTTATCAATTTTGCCGCTCATGATATACCATCTAAAAAAATGATATAAATAAAATTATTGCGTCTTCTAATATTTAAAAAAAGAAAAAAATGTATTTTGCAGCAGGTAGAAAATTTTATATTGTGGAATATAATTTATATATAATATATTCTACTCGGTAAGCATAAAAGCAATTACCGTGCACTTTCTGGGACAAGCCATGGACCAAGGAAAGCGGTGATCATCGGAAATGCGGTAACGACGCTTAAAATTCTCCAGTCTGCGATCCAATATGCGATCCACGGCAGAAGACCAGCGGCAGCGGCAAAGTAAATCCCGAAGGACATGTTCGCCACCAAAGTTCGATACTTTGGACCAACGTATTCGATCACTGCGATTAAAGTTATCATTAATAATAAGGACCGAGAGTAACGATGATTAAGATATATAATAATTTTCATTATGTTAGAAACTTTCGTTTCAGAAATCGAGAGTTGTACGAACAACTTTTAATCCGAAAACACTGATTAATAAAGATACACGAGTTTTTCTCGGATACTTATTTATACATTATCCTTAAAGGCTGCTTTAGTTAAACAGAAAATTTATTTTAGTCCTTCATAATTTTTTTATGTATTTTTTATTCGATCAGCGATTATACGTACCAATAATGAAAAGTACGTTGAAGCAATTGTCGAATGACGCGCCGACGACCAACCTCGCGAGGCAGAAGGACCAGAAACTGTTGCAGAACGCTGTTGCGATGGAAGCGAAAAATCCTACCGCGTTGCAGGATACCAACGCCGGGATCCTACCATAGTGATCAGCTATGTAGCCGAATATCAGGCCGCCGATAATGCTGCCGACGAAGAAGGCCGACTGGGCCGCGGAACCAAGGAAGGTTTTGTCGCAAACCCATTCGAGCTGGCAAAACAATATACGTTATCATAATGGCAAGAGATTCTTATTATTGATAATATTATCGTTTCAATTTATTTTTCTAGATAAATATATACTGCGATTGAATACCAAAGTAATTTTATAAATATTTTCTATCATATAAATCTTTAGCCTTATAAATGTTAAGATGCTTGAATTGCATCAAAGCTCGGTATGCGGTTTGTGCTAGTTTGCGCTAGTAAAAACTAACTGATAAATCCTGCTCGACGACTCGATTGTCATTAATATTAAAAAATAATAAAGTTTAATCTCGGGTATTACAACACACCAAAAAATACCGATGTGTGAATGGTATTTTTTATACCGGTTTTAATTCTTCTCGCTTCATAAAAAGATTACAGCTCGGCAAGAAGAGGAAAAAGATAAAAACGGAAACGCGCTAAGCGTTTTACTACTGTTTCGTCAGTCGACAAATTTATTAATCAATTAGCCACAGCGACAATGATTCATGCCGACTGATAATGTCAGGGTTTACTTACCTCGGCAGCGATCGAGGCGTATGGTATCATCGTATGATTGAAAGTCCATCCTTGCTTGCATGGTACCAACGGCCACGACTGATTGGCCTCTCTGACACCCTGCTCGAACAGCTCGGTGTAATTTACATCGTACATGTAGCATTTTGAGAACCACGTGGCGGCTTCCAGTTGTAATTCTTCCGGGGTAGCTGGAGGTATTCCTATCGCGATCCTGCAACGCAAACAAAAAACTCATTACGGAGGAACGATAAACCTGCGTGATATTGCCACTAATGCCTCTAATTTCGTTATCGCGACGTGATACGTCCTGCCCGCGACAAAAGTATTAGTCTCTCTTAGAGAGACGCATATCAAGTAAATGACACACTCGCTGTATAATCTCCGACTGGCGTTACGCGCAAATTGCATTAGCGTGACAGCAAACGAGTTCTTTGGTCCGCCTTTAGAGCTAGATGCCTTTTTCTCGCGAGAAAAAAAACACTTGTATAATTCACTTGTATAATTCACATGGACGATGAAATGATAATTTTATAAATAAATGTGTTGAGATGTTCAAACAGAAAAATATTGTATAATTTATATATTACTTGTTAAATAAATTCAAAAATTGGAAAATGATAATTAAAAAATTACTACCTAAATTATCTACTTCTTGATCAATTTATTCCTAAGATACAGTTTCTACTATCCAGAAGATTTATATTTATATTTATATTCATTCGAGTTCGTTGTATTCCCGGTTAATTTCGCGGTTAATTTCAATTAACGCTTTGCGTTTCCCAAAGAAGTTTCTCGTCTTCGTGAGAAGTTGAGGAAGAAATGTAAAAATCCGCTCCCAGGCAGCCTTTCAACGGAAAGAAGCTCCCTTCGTCCTCTTTTTCATCTCCATCTCTCTCTTTCTTTCTCAGATTCCCATGGAATCCCCTCGAGGTCGACAGCCAAACTGGTTTTCTGTAACTTCGAATACACGGAGAAACCACTGATCGAGTGATCTGAATCACGTACGACTATAGCGATGGGTATTCCTGCTTGATGATCATGCAGGTACGTCGCAATTATCTCGGCATAACACGTAATTCGCTAAAAACACTGGACGACTGAATTATCCCGAAATACGAGGAAATACACAAAAAAGTGTATATTTAACGGAAAACCTTACCAGAATTCGGAAATTTTCCATTCGAACGAATAATTGTCTTGTACATATCTATTTGTAATTTTTATTGGCAGGATGAATCGCACGTAAGAAAAAAAAGAAGAAAAGAATTATATATTTGCATTTGTACAATCGGTTTGACGGCAAAAAGTCTACAAGAAATATAATTAGACGTAATTACTTCTTACTCTAGAAAAACATTCTTTTCGTAAAACAAGGACGGAATTACTCGGACGTGAATTGATCCGCGTTTAATGCGGAAGAAGAGATCTGTCTATCTCTTTGTCGCCTCGTATATTGTATTTTTTAAGTGGCGCAATTAAGAGACAAAAACACGCCTTTTGTATTATTCATGCCTTCTATCTAAAATAGTCATGTTATTTGATTTTGTAGAAGGCCTAATAGAAGCTGTTAGGAATGATTATTTTTTGCTTTAAGCATAATACAAGTTAACAATCTATTACAATCAATTGAATTGTTAAAACTTTTATATTTATATATATAT